CTCCAGCTCGCGCGACGTTGCAAAACAACTCAGAGATCAGCAGATGGTTATGAAGGGATACAGAGACAGCTCGCTTGTGCAGGTACAACAACAGAAACACACAACACAACAACCACGAAAGAACATATTCTACTTATTCCGTTGCAGAAACACTCAAAGCATGCATGCAACCAGGCGTTCTATGATGGGTTTACTATACACTACAGTACATGAGCAGAGCCTGTGGCCGCATAGCCGCGGATGGGTTGTGTGCGTGTTTGTATGTAGAGAAACATGTTTTCAGCAATATACTAAAACACATACCCACTGCTTGCTGTATGCACATATATGATGATGTGTATGATTGTGCGGTATATGAAGAAGGGTGGTGAGGTGTATGATGAGATGTATGATTATAATGCACATGATGGTGGGGTATTGTGTGTGTGCGTGTGTTGATGACTAGCTAGTACGAAAAGCTATAAACTATTTCATATTTTTTTGTTTATTCTTTTGGATTCTGCTTGCTTAGGTGTTGAACCGCTACATTCCTACTGCTGCTGCTTTCGGGGGGATGTGCATCGGCGCGCTGACGATCATTGCGGATTTCTTGGGGGCTATTGGTAGCGGCACCGGTATTCTGTTGGCTGTCACAATTATCTATCAGTACTATGAGATGCTGGCGAAGGAGAAAGAACAAGGTGAGACGTGGGCTCTTGCAAAAAAAACAGGATATAGTGGCTCGCTAATAATATGAATAATAAAAAATTTACTTAATGGAATGCTAGTTGACAGTAGTAGCAGATTGTTCTCCTGCATGCATTGAGGTGTATCTTTATCCTAGGTGATAAGGACCCAGCTTTTTGTGTGTTTTCGGAGAGTGGTCAGGAGTGAGTTGTTTGTTGTTTTGCTGGAAATTAAAGTGAACGCAGCTGGCGAAGTAGGCCATAGCTGTACCTTTTCTATGTTGCAATTTTTGACTGACTGCAGGAAACTCTATCTTCTAAGCGCGGTTTAACGCGGCAAGAGAATATTGAAGCTTCTGGCTGTCGGTTATTATATATGCGGAAGGAGAAGGACGACGGAAAAAACAGATAAACGCTTAAATGCGATTCGATTGTATAGAGTGATTCCGCAGAACCGCTTCCCGCCAGTGCGTACACTCCATCGTGGGGTGTATGCGCAGGTGGTAAGTGAGCGTGCGGTGAACATACACAGGAGTCGGGGAAGCTGGTTGATGACAGCTGATGTTGTGAGTTGGAGAGAAGAGAAGAAGAGAACGAAGAGAGGAAGCCAAGGGGACGGAAGCCGTAGACGTCGCGGCCATTCTTTGCATGTAGAGATGATGC